GAGCGAGCTATGTCCACCCTGAAGGTTAATCTTGGACAATATCTGATGATCGACTCTTTTAAGTGAAACCAGAGAGCGTTGACAGAGAGGAGAAGGTAGAAATGATTCAGCCTGGAACTGAAAATATGGATGGAGGACAACAGAGCTGCTTCATGGAAGAAGAACCTCAGCTTAGCCTGTTAGCTTTAGCGCCAACGCTATGTTTTCTTATATGTATTAACTTGGTGCTAACGCGACAAGCTAACAAACTAAACTGAGGTCCTCCATCCATATTTTCAGTTCCAGGCTGAATCATTTCTACCTTCTCCTCTCTGTCAACGCTCTCTGGTTTCATTTAAAAGAGTCGATCATCAGATATTGTCCAAGATTAACCTTCAGGGTGGACATAGCTCGCTCACACCAAGGACGTATCCATGTCATCATTTACCCAGAATGCTTTGTGTGTAAATAAAATGGCCCCATCCGGGTAATATATTTTTAAAAATTTTAGTTTAAAATGATAAAAACTAAACATCCTACAGTATTTATACAGTCTTTATTTTACAGTTAAAATATACTGTATGTTTATCAAGTAAAGTCTAATGTTACAACTAATCATGGATCCCTTTAAATATAAAACAGGGTTGCATCACAGTTCTGCTTTGTTCAGACACCAACAGAATGACTTAAATATGAAAAAGAAGGATTTTAAAGCGTGACATGTCTCCTTTAGGTCACTACAGTCGTTACAGACTTCATTCAAATAGACAGGAGGTCTGTTTTGACAGCAGCTGAACAACAACAGTGTGGTTCTGATTGTCGCTGCTGCTCTTCGTTACCGTCACGCTCCACTCATTAGCTGCAGAGTCGGGATGGCAGCCGTCACAAAGACAAGGTCAGCTAATGATGACAAGCGACGACCCGTGCCTGCTGACCTCCATTCTGCAGCTGTTCGAGCATCAAAACTTCTGCTTCTTGACATTTTTTAGAAACACGACTTGTTGCGGAAACTTGTTCAGTCTTAAACTTCTGTCATTACTGTTGTGAATTCTGATTTTAGCCGCACGTATATTCAAACGTTCAGCTGATTCAGATACACTGTTCCATTTTTTTACAGTTATTCACAAGTATTTATTTGAAGTAATACACTGATCTTTTCAGTTCCTTTTGTTCTTTTTAAACTTTGCTCTGTTTTTGTCTTCTTTAGTTTTAGTTTTGCTACGTTAGGCTTTTATTTAGCCTTTGGTACTTTTAGCCTCCAGCTATCTTTTAGTTGCCTGTTTTGATGGAAGAAGCTACTTTAGGGTGCGTTTAGGTATTAGCTAGCTTTTTGCTGTTGTTAACTTTTAGCTGTTTAAGCTTTTAGCTAGAATTGTATTGTTATCCTTTATTATTTTAGCCTTTTTATTTTAGCTTTTGCTACCTTTAGTTTCTATCTCTTTGATACTTTTARTTTCCTCTGTTTTGGTGAAAGAAAAAACTTTATATTACTTTTAGGTATTAGCTAGCTTTTTACCACTTTTAACTTTTAATTTTTGTTATTTGAAGCTTTAAGCTAAAGATTTTAATGCTTGTAATTTTTAGCTTTTTGATACTTTCAGTTGCCTCTGTTTTGATATAAGAAACTACTTTAGGATGTGTTTAGGTATTAGCTAGCTTTTAGCTGTTTAAGCTTTTTGTATGGGATAAATCTTGTGCCAGCAGGAATTGAATTTGAATTGTTCAGATTGAATCTGAATGTGCATCATTTGAAATTGAATGCATTGGTTTGAAAATGAATTTTACTAAATTGAAACTGAATTTAAAGTTTTGTATCTGAATTAATTTGCTTTGAAACTGTATTTTKGTTTATTAAAAACTCAGTTTGACTACTTTCACTTTCAGTTCCATAATTCAGATTTTTGTGTCACATCCTGGTCCTTGAGAAAGCCAGGCAGAGTAATCAAACACAGATCCACAGATTTACGTTTCACTTTGGTGAAGTTTCTCTATCTGTAATGTAACAGAGTTGATGCAATCCACCATAAAAGTGTCAAAAACAGTTATTTTATTGCAGTGATTAATTTTAACTATACGTAGAAAATGTTACATTTACATCACATCATGGATCACATATTGATTAGATGCTGTTGCTGACTGATCCATGACGGGATGTAAATGTTGCTTTTTTATAGGTAAAATTAATCGCTGAAATAATTTTTTTTGTCACTTTTATGGTGGATTGCATCAACTCTGTTACATACAGATTGAGAAACTTCACCAAACTGAAACGTAAATCTGTGGATCTGTGTTTGATTACTCTGCCTGGCTTTCTCAAGGACCAGGATGTGACACAAAAATCTGAATTTTGGGACTGAAAGTGAAAGTAGTCAAACTGCTTTTTTCCATCCATCCATCCATTTTCTTCCGCCTATCCGGGGTCGGGTCGCGGG